GGATTGCCAGCAGGTGTGTAACTCCACAGGTAATCAGCTCACTACCAAGCGTAACACACACACTGGGTTGGCGTGATGTTGCCATTTACTGTGTGAATTACAATTTTGAAATTGTGTGTAAAATAAAGACTTGATATGGCTTTAATAATCATTAATCAATAGTTTAATATTGATGCTCGTCGTTATCTGATCCTTCCCTTCACACCTCGACTGTTTCTAAGGAGTGTTCAATGCTTTAGTTCTCCCTGCCCTTTTTCCACTGAGTTTTCTTTGCGTTTACCCCTCCCCTCTGTGTCCTGTGTGTGTGTGTGTGTGTGTGACTGGAAACTCCCTCAACATTACAATAAACCATCTTTCACCATTTCTTGGCTCTTGATCTGTGTTTACATTTGGATCCAGAGAGGCTTAACAATCAGAGGGAAGATCGGAATCTCCAAGATCTCCATAAGATATGATCCAGTTTCACCAAAGACCAGTTAGTTGTAGGAGCCACCAAACCCATGCCTGAGTGTCAGAAATTCCTCTACTAAAATGTCCAGTGTGTAACATTTTTAGGTTTTTATTAGTGTGTAATCACCTGACAATAAGAATCATGTTTTTCGTTATCAACAGACGACGTGGGTCGCCCTCAATGGAGTCCACCACGCTACATCTTTCTCACGTCACTACGTGAGCGCACCTTTATTTTTTGCAGTGGAAAATTGGTAAAGGAATTAGTTCGTTATATTTGGAAAATTATGTATGTATTTGTTTTCAAACGTCCTCAGGTGTTGGATAACTTTTTCATACAACAACCAGCAGATTGCGCTGCTTTGAAAACACCAATGATAAGTTTAAATATATCTTTAATTCAGATTACTTTGTTTGTCGATTAAATTTGCATAAAATGGAAATGTATCTTTGGCATTGGCATATGTCAACACAACATACAAGTCTTATTTTGTGTGGCCCTTTGCTGTGTTAACCTCTCTCTCTCCTTTAAATTATATATTTGATCTGCTGCTGATGTGCCTGACTGTAGCTGTTGTGGTCTGGGTAGAGGTTTACACATACTGTTAGATACTTGTCGTTGTGGTGGAAAAAGCTTTAAATTACTTTACTATAAAAACTCTCTATGAATGATGTCTTTGTGTTGGTAAATTATAATTATGGGGTTTGAGATCCTCTGTCTACCTCTGCCACAGTTTACAGACACACGCAAACACCTTTTTCATTCATGTAGAAAAATATCTGGAACATTTTTAACCCTGAGCGGAGAGTGATGCCCTTCCCCTCTGCTTACTGATCCACCCAGCAGACCCTCAACCTGATGTTTTAAAGCCCTCGTTTGGAATAATATGGATCCTGTGTGAACAAACCTGAGGAACTATAAGGAACCTTCAACATGTTTGCCCACCGGGAAAGGGGGAGGCGACATCAGTGCAGCTAATTCCTATTGACCTGGGAAATATTTACCTTCAGGAGACGCACACTGCCTGAACATGTCCGACACAGAGTGCAGCTCCAGGCCTGATAGTGATGTAAAAGGAGCAGTCTGACATTTAATTATATACTTTCAGTTTTAAACCCACCCTGAGGACAAGACTGTAGAGATGCTGCAAACCTCAATGTCTCTTCTTTTTTTAGATTTTTGTTTCTACAACTGTTGAATAAATAGCATTAGTAACTTTTTAGTAAATCCTCAGTTTGTGGGTGTTTGTATTGTATTCCAACCCCATGTGCTCCTATATCTGCTCAGCTATGTAATCCATCCCAGATGGGGTTTTAGTCCACATTCTTGCAGCATTGTGAAGCCAAGCTAATGAGCAAAATCACTTGGAGGATAGGCCCGTGTCCTTCAAAACAAAAGCCTTCAGTTATTTCAAATGTTGACTCATCAACCTTCATTTTAAAGATGGTGGTTCAGTCCAGCCAGAGTTATAATATAACTAGTTACATATTGTAATTTTGAGTACAAACAGACAGTAATGGGTAATAAACAAAATGGGTAATAATAATTTCTAGAACAGTCTGCAGAGAGGACTTTTCCACTTTAATATGAATATAATTAAATTGAGCAAAACATGTATTTGATGTATCTATTTGGTGCACAATTAACTTGGAATTCAACTTTAGCTTTAAATATGAAGATGTTGATGGCTGATGTTTTTCTTTTGACTACAGATGTCTTGCTGTATTTAATGTTTGACACACAGTTATGTATAGAGTGCTGAGTTTACCCATCAGTTGGTGGAGCTGTCCTTTGTTTGTTTGTATGTATAGTCTAAAACTAGGGAGATGGCAAATTTCAGTGCGTGGATAGTCTTTACTTGTTTGGCATGACATGGAAATAAAAACTTACTAAAAGAGAAAAGAGAGAGAATACAAATCATAATATTTCCGTAGCAAAGATTCTTGAATAGTTCAGGTTTCATCCTCCTCCAGTTCTTGTAGTTTATCTTCAGGAATTCAAACTAATGTTGTCCGTCCAAACTTAAGAAACTTATATTTCAAAGACTAAAAAATGTGAACAACTAAACTAAACCCATGGACTCTTATAACTGGATGCTGGTGTACAAACAGATGTTAACTGTCAATATTTGTTCACATAAATGTCTTCATAGAAGTTTTAATCATTGACATTAAATTACCCGATTACCACAACATTATTTCTGAAGTGTTTATATACTGGTTACATGCAAAATAAGAGGACTTTAAGATACATTTTACTGATTTTGTTATTGCAGAATGATCACAGTTCATCCATTCATAGAGTTTGTTAATTGCTAGTGGGAATGTGAAGCATTGTAACTGAAACCCTGCACTTTCATTAATAAATCCACCAATTTAATATCGAATCTAACTTTGTAGTACAGTAGATGTAGACTCTATTTATAATTTATATTTAACTCATCACATATACCGGGCATCTTGGGTATAAAAATGTCCTTCCAGATGAGTACACACCTGTCTTATCTAAGTAGCCGGCTTGGGCAGTAACTGATCAAACGTTATTGTAATTTTCTGTTTACATATTTGATGTTGAGGTAATCCAAAAGTAACGGAAAGTAATCAAGTTACATTACTTTAATATTGTGATACTTGGATTAGGTTACTTACTACATTTTTAACAGGTAAATACATTTACATTACATCTTTAAAGTAACCCTCCCAACCAAGCAGTAAAAACCCAGGTCGCTTGTCAGTCAGACAATTTATTTTGAAGTTTTAACCGGAAGTGGTGTGTTTCAGTCAGTGTTTGCAGCAGCAGCAGCAGTGTGTGGCGACACTGGGACACTAACAGATATTATCTGGATTTATTAAAAACGAGCAGACCACGAACGAAGCAGCATGATGAACAGCGCAGGTAGGAACTCAAACACACGAACACAACATTACACGGGTCACCAAACTGACCGCTACCCCATCCAGCTCCCGCAGTTCACTCAGGCTGCACCGCCTGCAAAAAAATGCATCCGATAAAGACACAAACTCAAAGGTTTCACACAGCTTCTGTCTCTCAGTGCACAATTAAATCGAGTGTTTTCATTGTAAGACCCCGGTCTGGTGTGGTCTGGGCCGAGGAGGAATAATTGTGCACTCGCCATTTGTTTTCATAGAAATAAGGTTTTTTTTTGCAGTTTTGAAGCAGCTTTGAAGATGATTTATATGGAATAATAAAGAAAAATCAGTCTATTAACTAAACATAACCAATTAAATACCAGCAAACTTATTAATTCAAAAATACCTTATTTTATCTTTAAATCTTCAGCCCTAATACATTCTTTGTTCAAAGCAGCAAACTCTTTAAAGGATTTGTTGATTCATTTGAAAGGTTTACAGGTTTATTGATGGATTAATAATGTGATCAATTTTAGTCCATTTGCTGACTCGCAGCAGTCTATGGATGTAACGATATACACTCAGCTCAGCATTGCATCAATCAGGGTTGGGAGGATTACTTTAAAAATGTAATCCGATACAATTAATAATTAAAATGTTGTCAGTAACCTAAACCAAGTATCACAAAATAAAGTAAAGTAACTTGGCTGCTTTCCGTTACTTTTGGATTACCTCAACACCAAATATGTTAATAAAGAAAATAAATAACAAAAAGAAGTTTTCATGTACAATGTAACCTTAGAAAATAAAATGATGGAAAGATTTTAAACATCAAAATGTGTCTTCTGCTCAATTTATTTATTTTTTAATAGAAAAACTGATGTATTTTAAAATTGTAATCCTGCTAAATAATCTTACAAAATTTAACTGTAATCTGATTACGTTTTTTCTGTAACTGTAATGGATTGTATCCTTATTGCATAACTTTTTCTTACATTTGTTTTATCTTTTTTTTTGGACAAATTATGACTAAAAACATTTTCATTCAAATTTAAAATTCTTAAAACAAAATCTACAAAAATATATTTTCTTTTATATTTCTTTTTTATTTCTGATGTTTGGTATAAAATGTACAAAACAATGCAGATTTTCCTTTTCTTCTAGTCTGCTCAGGTGCTCTTTAATCAGAGGCACTGAAGGTGGTTGTGACTTAAATTCATTCATACAAAATACAAAAGGTTTGCTTTAAATGTCACTCAACTTGGCACTACACACTGGTCCGTTAATATTTCAGATTTTACAGGCAAGACGGCACATGAAGGTTTTCAAAGGAACCAGATGCCTTAAAAAAACAAGATGAGACAGATACAGAAAAGACCAGGATGTTGGTGTAAGTTGCCTCTACTGAAAACTGAAATATGAAGAGCTTTTAAGATGTTTGGTATGCAGTTTTCTGATTTGTCTGTTGTTTTATCGCAACTTTATTTGTAAAATTCAACTTATTTCGACTTATTCCAATATTTGACGATTTGAGGCAACATGTTGCCAAAGTAAATATGAATACTGTACAATACATATTTATGACGTCTTCTCTAACTCCTCCTCTCCATTCTCATCCCCTCTTCTATTCCTTTTCTTCCCAACTCCCTCCCTTATTTCTCCACCTCCACCCCCTTTCCTCTACTTTCCTATCTCCTAATCGCCTTCCCTCTCTCCTGTTTTCCTTTCTACCTTCTCACCTCGCCTACTTCCTCTTTTCCTTTCCTCTCTGTCATTGCTTTACTATACCTCTTCCACCTCCTCCTCCTTCTCTACCTCCTTCTCTCCTTCTCTACCTCCTCTGTAGCTTTCCTACCCACTCATTTCCTTCTGTATCTCCTATCTACTAATTTTCCTCTTACTAGTGTCTGTTTTCCTCTCTTATTTTCTTTCACCCTTTCTCTACCTCCTCCTTTTCTTTCCTTTCTCCTCTTGTCCTTTCCTACCTTCTCTATTCCTTGTTATCCCTCATTTTCTCCTTCTCTAGCTCTTACGTCGTACATCTTTCTCCCCTTCATCACCACCTTCTTTCCTTTCACACATCCTCCACGCCCTCTTTACCCAGACTAGCTGTTTCCAGTCTTTGTGCTGAACTTTCTCATCTTATTCTAGGCAAGAAAGCAAAAAGTGTCTTTCACAAAAGGTTGAACCGTCCCTTTAAAGGCCCTACACACCCAGTGTTTTAACATAATAACTTAATTAGACCTCCTGTACAGTCAGGGCTCTAGTTAACCAGGAAAAAAGGTGATTATTTTCAGTTCTCGTCAGCTTTAAATTCATCTTAACGGTCAAATGTAACATTTGATGAGCTATTTTTGTCTACAGAAGGAAGGGGGTGAGGGTGAAGCGAGGGAGTTGCAGTCTGCGACTCCACTGCTAGTTGCCACTAAATCCAACACACTGGACCTTTTTAAAATAAAACCTTTCTGCTGATTTGATGTATGAACTGTTTCCTGTTGTTTATTCCAGCTGTGTATCCCCCTCCCACCGCTCCTGCAGCCAACATGTTTGGCAACGTGCCTGGCTATGAAGGCACCGTGGCTGGAGGAGGTAAGAGGAGTCGAACCCCACATCTTTTCATTGAATATATATGTCGTTGCAACTACTCAAAGTTTGTTGTTGTTGCTGCAGGAGGTTACCTGCCCCCTCCTATGCCCTTGGAACCTGTGGCCCCACCGCAAGCTGGCCCTGAACAGGACAACTGGAGGTAAGACTTGAGGCACGTTTTTCAACCTGTGTGCACCTGAAAGGGGTGGAGCCTGTAACAACCAGCCAGTCACAGCCAGCAGGATGCTCACGTAGCTCTGCTGGATGAGAAAAGGCTGCGTTCAGAGGATATTCTGGTTTCATTCATGATGTGGTTCTCGTGTGTGTTGTAGCATCCCCGCTCTTTCAGAGGACGTGGCTTCTGAGGCGTTCAAGAGCTATGCGTCATCTCACTGCTGTTACAGTAGTGGTCCTGCCGAAGATGGAGTCATCACCAGCATGGAGCCATACAACACCTTTAGGGTAATCTGATGTTCACACTCTGTATGATACTGTTAACTGCTAGGTTTGTTACTTAAGGATGCTCCAGTCATGTTCCATTTGATTTTACAGAAACTTTCTCTTTAACGTTGGTATTAACCTGTTATCTGTATCTGGATAATGAGAACTGATCACAGGCCTTTGCATTTACAGGTTTAGCTTTATTGGATGAACTGCTATGAAGTTTTAGTACAAACATGTCTTAATTAGGATGAATTATGCAGTATGACAGCCACTCCACCGGACTAAATCTTCCTTAATGTGTCCAAAACTAGAGCCAGGCCGATACCGATTTTACTCGATATGGGTATTTTAGTTAGTCGATATGGCGACCGATATAGTGAATTTTTTTAGCAGAAATTACCTTTTTCTATGTGGATTGTGAACTGATTTTGCATTGATATGACTATGCAATGGTACTCAGAAGGCTAAAATATTAAATATTCTTTTACAAGTTCAAGTTGACATTGCTGAGAGTCGCTTCGTCTCTCTTACGATGTGCTGCTTGTCATAGTATTGTAAATCACAGCGCAGACTGCTGGATAAACTTTGTAATGACACCAATATATTACCATAAGCATTTTTTCTACATTATGTACCAGGAAAAAATAGTTTGCATATCAGCAAGTATCGGATAATATATATGCCAAATTCGATATGATATCGATATGCCTGAAAAATCGGCCAATAATATTGTTCAGGCTCTAAAAATGTCCGCACACGAAGATAAAGTGTGCAGGAATCTTTGCTATCATTTCGGACCTCTCAGGATGAATTGAAATAACTTGATGATCTCTTAATTCTTCATATAGCATTGTCATCAGGTGGTGTTAGCAGTTAGCGTATTGCACCGTTGTGTCTAAGGGATATATATCTGTTCCCAAGGTCCTATGTTCCCTAACCATAACCCTGGAACAGGGGAACACAGGACACAGTGGACATAGGTGTCTAAGTAGAACCCCACAGAGCCTCTAGTGTTGCTGTAGACTTGTGGTGGTCATGTTAGCATCTTCCCTGACAAAATGCAATCTATAGCTTTTTGAAGAGTTGAGAGTAGGTGACCTTTAAACTTATCAGGGTTTTTTGTCCAAAAAGTAACACCTTCTGGGATCAGATCACAATCTGAATGTAATGCTGCATTTACACCTACATTAACACAGGTTTTTCCTGATGCAGATCAAATATCCAGACCCAGATCATATGTACATACCAGAGGGACATGCAGTATATACATGGGCCCAGAGTTCTGATCATAGATATCACTTCCCACCAGTTTAGAAACACTTGAATGTGACTCTGATGACTCTCACATGACTCTTGTGACCTCAAAGACTCTCATGCGAACAAACTATAATGGTATCAATTTTGAAGTGAAGGAGCCTGAGGCCTGAAACATTAAGACCAGTTCAGTTTGACTCTGTCTTGTTTGGCCTGTCTACACATTTTTTGGTCTTGCATGCCTCTGGAACAGAGACGTTTCTATTTTAATCAATCCAGCTGTCCACACAGGCCTCGCTACAGCTCATGTTTCATTTGCGTTATGAAGCTGCGACCGAAAGTGCATTTTTACACTTTATTTTGTTTTGCTTTACGTGTGTGAAGTACATCGTACTGTGAACACATCCTGTCTAGACAATGACAGAGGACTGGAGCTGCTGCTCTTCTGCTTTCACTACAGAACCCATGCAGACATTTTAGGAACAAGAATGTAGCATAAACAAATGCCACGCAGCACAGCATTTATAAGCTAAACTAATTTGCAATACCCGTCCCCAGATGGGCCTTTCACAATAAATAAAACTCAACAAATACACGAGATAAAACAAACTCCACAATACGTATGTGCAACACAAAACTGAGCATAACAGAACAATACAGGACGCGAAGTAATACATTCAAAAACCATAAAACAGGAACGCACCAGATCATTCGTGACTATATGACTGATCCTTCTTCAGGAATTGTTTCAGTTTGAATTTAAAATGATCCCAGTCAGGATGCAATTAGTAAGGAATTCCACATGTTGGTTCGCCTAACAGAAAAAAGCTGTTTGTCCAGAGGAGGATTTCCATAAGGATACCTTACTATTCACATTAGATGTTAGATCAAGAGTTTTAAAAGTGTGACACTAGTCTGAAATTAAGACCCCCAATTATTTCTAAGTATTTAATGTGTCACACTGAAATCCCCAAAATGTGTATCATGTCTGTGTGTTCAGATTTAACTGAGTTATGACTCCAGGAAGGAGAACAAATTGTGTTCAACCTGTCCCTTTTATATCACACAATATGTATTCCTCACCTCCCTCCCTCCACAACTCCCCTCCAACTCTCCCGTGTCCCCCTGGGGAGGCACGCCTCACAGTTTGAGAACCTCTGTCAGACCGAGAGTCTCCACAGTCAATCTGACGTCAGATGTTTATATTGTTAATAAACACAGAATTCAGAATATGACCTGTTGGTTTACTCTGTAGACAAACAGAAATAATCCTCTAAAATAAAAGTTTTTTATTCATAAAAGATCTCTATACTTCTCTGTTAGCTGGAATCATGCTAACACATGTCCTAGCGCTCGCCAGCTGCCAGCAGTCCAAACACACTGAACTCATGTCGCCATACTGACCAGCAAAATGTAAGATTAAAATCAGTTAATCTGTAGTGAATATTGACTGATTGTGATCTTTCTTCCTTTATTTCAATAAAACCATTTCTGTAATTATTACTGTTTACTGGTTCTGTTATCTGTGTGATTACTTTTTACTTTTAGTATAATAATATTGCTCTTATAGTTTCTGTTCTGGTCTCTGTCTGCTGAAGCTCTTGTTGAAGTGTGTTTTCTGTTCTGTAGTACCGACTGGAGACGTATACTGAGTCCAGGTCAACTGAGTGGGCCCATAAACCTCACGAAGGTAAACAGACACACACACACACAAACAAAACCAAGTCTGAACCTTCAAACAGACAAAATCTCCAATGGGTCCTCACAGAGAGAGACACACACAAGATATTTTACTGCAGAAAAGTGTTCACAGAGTGGAATTAGTGGTTTATCTGGATAATTTTGGAGTTAAAGGGGTACTATCAGAAAGTTTAGACATACAATATAAAGCCCTTATTGTCAGAACATCAAACCCTGAATACAAACAAAGAAGGCGGTAAAAAGTCTGTGTGCAGTCACATCATACATCCTCCTACAGTGACTCAGTATTTAATTTCCATAAAGCTGGTTTAGTTGAGAGAGAAACATTTTAAAAACATGCTCAAAATCTGTGCATTTTTGTCTTTTTTTGTGTCTTTAGTCCTTAGTATGGATCAAACTCCTAAACACTGAATGTTGTCTTTCATTAGACCCTCTCTAGCAGTTAAAAACCCACTGATAAGTCTCTAAAGTCTCCAAGCCCAAGTTCAGATACCCCTGACAATGTCACTATGGTAGCAGGGTTCAGGTGTTTTGACAGCTATATTTCATTGACAGGTTGGTGTCTCTCTTGTGTGATTGACAGGTGAGGCGGCTGACTTCTACACCGAGACTGCCCCCAGGCCCTGGGAGGTCCAGGCCCCAGTTCCCAGCTTGTTCACCAATGAAACAAAGGAGATCCGTGTGCCCTACACCTCCTCCATCAAGGTGAGCGGGTTAATAGTCACTAAACCACCAATTTAGTAGTGTCATTGACTGATTCAGGTCCAAATCTTGATATGCAACCGCCCTCTACTGGTTGAAACCTGACTATTGTAATTTATTCTTTATTCTCCCCATTAGCTGCCACCAAAGTAGCAGCTACTCTTCCTGGGGTCCACGCAAAAAAAATGGTTGCCTGCTGTTTAATTTACCTTGAGTTCTGATTTAGATCCACTACTATGTTTGATTTTAACATGTATATATTTATATATACTCCTGCTATAGTTAAACTTACCTCAAGGTCTGATTTAGAACAGAAAATAAACAGTCAACCTCAACTATGTTAGATTTTAACAGAAGGCTGACAGCCAATCAGAGACCAGGATTCTGATGTGAAACATTTTTACAGCTTCAGTGTGTCAGTGTGACTCCAACAGACGGTAAAGTTATTTTTAACTCTGTGTGTTTGTGTGTGTGTGTTTGCAGGACTGCCACAGCTGCCATGCCGCAGGGAAGATGCCATGTAAAGAGTGCCAGGGAAATGGATATGTAAGAAGACTGTCAACCAATCAATTAAGTGATCAGTAATGATAAATGACGTATTAATTGTTGTTTACATAACTACACAACATACCAACTATGTAAAATTAAAGACAGGAAAGGTTTTGTTTTACATAAAGTAGTAAAATAATAAACAGATAAAATGAATCATAACTAATTTAATGTGGATTTACAATGAAACTTTCCATATTAATATTACTGTCTGTCTGTGTGTCTCTGTGTGTGTGTGTGATTGTGTGTGTGTGCGTGTGTGTGTATAGAAACAATGCTGGGTGTGTAACGGCTCAGGGCAGAAGGATGGTGGTAACTGCACTCGCTGTGATGCTTCAGGCAAAGACAGGTACTGAGGGGGGTTTACAGTGCAGCCAACAATTCAAAACTGTAACAGGGAATTAAATGCTTCCTGTGAATCCCTCATTAAAACTACCAGCCGTAATAACAGGATATAAATACATTGAATGGCTATTGACAACCATCAAATCGTTTTAAAAACAGGGTTTGATTGCATTATATTCTCAAGGATTATCACTTTAAGATCCTTTTTATGCCCCCAGTTTAGATCTAATTGGGGTCCATTATTTTATGTCATCCCCGTCTTTATTTATCCCTTCATTTCCTGTCAGCTCTTTATTGTCCACTACCTAATAGAAAAAGGCAAAAATTAACCCCAAAAGATTCGACCATGTTGAAATGTTTGTGTTCAGTTTGAAATCTCAGATATCAGATTGTCCCTGTACAAACCAGCAGAACCAATCACAACATAATAATAACATCATTTTTTTATTTTTTAAACATTTATTTTAATTCTTAAAAAAACACACAACAATAATGTAATTTGGACAGAAGCTGATTTTCAATCAAAGGAATCCCTGAAAAAAATGGGAAAAATTGATCAGTATAAGAAGTTTGCAGCATTCAGAGTTAATCAATTAAAACACGAAAAGCAGCGTTATGCCCCCTTTTTAAATTACACTGTCCAGTCAGTGCATTGGGATCAGATCACTGAAGAATGTGAGACATGTTTGTCACATGTCTAACTGTTTGTGTGTGTGTTTATGTGTGTGTGTGTAGGTGTACAGAATGTAATTCTCAAGGATCGACAGACTGTGAAACCTGTAAAGGAAAACGGCAACTGCTGACCTACATCCAGCTCAAAGTGGAGTGGTGAGTACTCAACTGTTCCAGGAGATTTCAGTGGTTCTTGATCAGGTTCTATGGGGCCTTTTCAGGAGTTCAAGGGGTCACTGGTGGTTCCAGTAGTCCTTAATAATGTTCCAGTGATCCTTCAGGGGCAGTTCTATGGGGGTCTTTAAAAGATTAAAGGGGTTGTTGTTGGTTCCTGAGGTCCTTGATGGTGTTATATTGATACTTGAATGGCAAATAAAGAGTTTTAAAGGGCACTGAAAAGTTTCCAGGGGTCCACCAACACAAACCTAGTGCTAGTTCTGAGCTGGTGCTTGTCCTGGTTCAGAGTTTGTTCAATTTGAGCACCTTTTTAAGAACCGGTTTGCTTTTAGTGTCCTTTGGTGCCCTCTGGGGGCATAAAGATAAACCTGTGGGGTGAGATTGTTTTTTCTTCTAACACTTACATTTTATTGGATCAGAAAACAAAGAGTAACAGTACATCAACAGCGTTGGCAGGCAGCATTATGACATCCACAACATCCATATAATACATTTTATATTCAGGATTATGCACAAGGGAGCTTTATACAGCAAATATGTACTGTACACCGTTTCCAACTGAAAATATTGATGAAATTATGTGTATGTGTGTATGCGTTTATATTTGTTTCTGTGTGTTTAGGACTAACAATGTGGAGGACCACGTGGTGGAGCAGAAGTCGGGTCTGGTGATAGATAATCTTCGCTCCGTGAGTGGGAAGGAACTGTTCAAGAACAACCACTACCTGGTACACACACACACACACACACACAATAATACACTTATTTCTTTATTTTTTCCCCCCATAAAAGTAGAGGTTATAAGCACTGCTCTTCTTGTTGTCAATATAATTATTAGATGAAACCTGAGTCCTTACTGCCGCGGCCATGGGTTTGAATCCGACCTGTGGCCCTTTGCTGCGAGTCATCCCCTCTCTCTTTCCCCACCTTTACTGTCACTGTTCAGCTGTCATATCCAATGAAGGCAAAACATATACATAGATATAAACAAAAAAAATCCCCTCACTCAAATATATGGTATTGTTGTGTCACGTAGCTCCACTGCTCATTTTCCCTGAATCTTAAAGTTGTGGAGGCACTATTCATTTTAGGTTATTATAATATGCTGCAGAAAACCATGACTGTTTTCCCTTTATTATGTTCCTTAAGTTAAAACTTGCACATCAGCAAATGAGTGACAGACAAACATGCAGGAAGCTCCCCTCAGACAGGTGTAGTGGAGCTAAAATGCTGTCTGTTTATTGTCAGTACTGTGTGATAGTCTCTCTGTCTCTCTCCTCTTAGCTCTACCCGCTGCTCGGGTTCCCAAACCCGGCCATCTCTGAGGCCTCTGAGCGTCTGATCAGAGAGCACCAAAGCAAGTACGCCCAGACCTCCAGGATCCTGCAGCAGGTACGTCTGCAGGCAGGAGTATAACTAACAAATTGAAGAGAATAACAAAGATAAAAAGTATCATGAAAGGTTGTTTAAATATTGAATCCAATTAGGAAAGGAGGTGTCATACAGTATTATCCGTCTCCTCTGTCAGATGAGAAGAAGGATATCAGTTTTATATCTGTGTGTGCAGTACAGAGAGAGGCATCACTGTCCACATTACGTCACAGCTGTATAACAGGCCAATCTCCCTGTAAAGGTTTGCACATACCTGAATGCTGTGAGTGACACAGGGAGGTTGGAAGAGGAATATGAGTGAGGCATTAATGTAACACAGTGTCAGCATCGTGTACATACATATGCAGGAGTTATTCTGGTTCACATGAATTAATAATCACGGCCAACAACTGCAATGAAACTGATCATCTTGGGAAACAAAACTGACTCATATCCGCTGCAGTAAACTGTTAATTGGACTCTGTTTCCATAGCAACCAGCACGCCAAAGTTATTCTCCCATCAATGCGGCTGCTAATAAGTTGCTTGTTAATAATTCAATGAATAATAAAATAATGAGAAACTGATGTGAAGTCTCAAGCAACTCGATGATAACATCACACAGATTTTATTGTTTATTGTTAATATCAGAATTTTAATGTCTCAATTCAGTTCAATTCAAATGGCTTTATTGG